GTTCTTAATCATTTTGTGTCACAGACCCCTTTGACTGTCTGATGAAGCATAAGGACTGTTTCTCGGAATAATATTTTAATGAATAAAATAAAATAGGGTTACAAAATAAATTGATTTTATTATAATGAAGTTATCAAAATATGTATTTTTTTAAAGTTCATGTACCCCCTGGAATTTATATCTCTATGGACCTCTTAGGCATCTGTAAAACCCAGGGTAAAAATTTCTGGTTTAGATGAATGGTAATTACTTATTTGTCCTATTTGTCCATCTACTTGTCTCTGACTCTTTCCCTCTTTTTCCTTCCCCCGCATTCCTCACTCTCCATTGTAAGTCTGATCATGAGGAAGTCAATGAAAACTTGATATAACACTTTAAAAAATGCTGGGTGACTATTTACAGACACAGGTAAAAAGTTATTTTCTATCTTTATGACAAGTAAAATACTTTTTCATTGCTGTGTTATCTGTGAAAACATTTCTATAAATCTTCAACAAAACAAAAAAGAGCGGATCAAGTCTCGAAGTATAAGAATTACACAATTCTACTGCCTTTGTGAACTAGAAAACACACTGTGTACTCATACTATAAACAAGGCTAAGGCAGTTTTTAAAAAGTGTATTTTGAATGCATATTGTATAACTTTTATAGGCTATACTGCTATTTCTGTAGCTAGCAAATGATTTAAAATTATGAGTACTGTAATCAAGTTTAATTTGTCAGGTATCTTAATTATATCTAAGATATTGCTATAATTATCCAATAGAATAATTATTAATTGAAAATCACTGACAGTTACAGATAGAAACCAAAATGAAAATTATGGTACATAATAAAGCTAACTAACTTTACAAGCTTTGGAATCGGGATTTTTATAGCCCTTTTGATGCTAACGTTTACTTCCTCATATGAATGTTCACAGGGCTAATCTAAGCAGCATCCACTAAAGCCCGACTCAGATGTCTCATCATGGCAAAGAAGTGACCTTGGGTTCTTAGTGGAGTGCAAGTTTTAGCACGTCCCTGGCAAGTTGCAAAGGTTCTGAGTATGACCAAGTGATGAGCTGTCTGTCTGCTGTCCAATCAACAACTGAGCTGAGCTGAACAGCACCTGAAAAGGGCCAAGAAGACTGGCCATCAGGTGATGACCATTTCTGGCCACAGGAGTTCATTAAGTATACCTCCCAAGGCAAGGAGTAGTTCATCTGTGGTCTGTTAACTTATTTATAAAATATTTTAATAATTGTATGTCAGTACAATTGGTTTCCTTTGTAATCCTATGTATTTTATTTTATGCACTTAAAATCATCATTCTGACCAGGACACACAAAAACAGTTAAGAACCCCTGAACTAAGGGGTGGAAGGGATTTTTGACTATGGAGAGAACACCCACATTAATACAACCACAAACAGACCTTTCTATGTACTGGAGAATTACAACATAATTCTTTTGTCTACAGTGCCAAGCAGATAGGAAATGCAGAACACATTTTTGGAATCAAAATGTTAGGGCTTGGTAGGATTGTACACAACTTAGCCCAAGTGAGGTGGGATGATGGCTAGAACATTAAGGCCAGGAGTCAGCAAGACCCAACTTCAAAATCCGGTCTCAGACACTGAAGAATTGTGTGACCTTGGACAAGTCACTTAACCTCAGTTTCCTCAACTGTAAAATGGGGCTGATAATAGTACTCATCTCCCAGAATTGTTGTGAGGAACAAACAAAATAATGTTTGAAAAGTGCTTAAAATAGTGCCTGGCATAGGGCAGGTGCTTAATTAATGCTTGTTCCTTTCTTCCTCTCACAGAGACATTAAAGTGACACCATATACCCAAGTTAGCAGCAAAAACAGGTTCTGAGACTTTCACTGTTGGTTCTTTCATGCCTTGTATTTGAATGCACTTCTCTCTATTTTTCATTTTATCTAGTCCTTGTCAGAAAATACACCACTACCTCACATTACTGTTAACACATTAAGGTTTACAAAATATCTCTTTGAAACAAAAATCATGGGATTTAGAATTGGAAAGATTCTTAGAGATCATCTATTCCAACTCCTACATTTTTTACAGGTTAAAAAAACAAAACAAAACTGAGGCTTAGAGTGGTTAAGTGATTTGCCCAAGGTCACATAGCAAGTAAATGACCAAATTTGGATTCAAACTCAGATCTGTGGACTTGGGGTCCAGTATAGCTCTCATCACAACACTCCTCATAGGCAAGGCAGTGATGCAGTGCCTAACATGTTGGGTCTGGAGTATGGAAGACCTGAGTTCAAGTGTGGCTTCACATACTCACTAGCTGTGTGGCTATAGGTAAATCACTTAGCCTCTTTCCCTCTCAGTTTCCTCAGCCTATAATGCGTATAATAGTACCTACCTCTCAGGGTTGTTGTGAGGATCAAATGAGGTAATATTTGTAAAGGGCTTAGCATAAGGCATGGAAACAGTAGGTACTTAATAAATACTTGTTTTCTTCTTTCATAGTTTGTCACTGGAAATATACTGCAACTCAATTATGCCTAGCATGGCTCTTTAAGTGATTTTCAATTTCACTTTACCAGAGATTATTGCATTAATTATTAATTCATATCTTAATTCATGATTAGGCAGCTGGGTGGCACAGTGGATAGAGAGCTGGGACTAGAGTCTGGAGGACCTGATTTCAAATCCAGCCTCAGGCACTTAATGGCTATGTGACCCTGTGCAATTCATTTAATCCCATTTGCCTCAGTTGGGAGGCAACTGCAAAATGAGCCAGAGAAGGGAATGGTAAATCACTCCAGTATCTTTGCCAGGAAAACCCCAAATGGGATGACAAAGGATCAGACACAACTGAAATGACTCAACAATAACAAAAATTAAAGTTCTTCTGCTTTCCTTTATCCTTAAGCCAGCATCTTTTTTTTTTTGCCTTTGCAGCCTGTTGTAATACTACTTCCTCTTATCCACTCCACACTCTAGCTGAATTGTACTATTGTGTCCCATTACCATATCTTGGACTTTTCTAGCTGCATGCCTTTGCTCACAATTTTCCCTATGCTTGGTATATCTCCTAACCTTTTTGCCTAATTGAAACCCTGCTTATCCTGTAAGGTCCAGTTGAATATCATTTCCTCCTTGAAGCCTTCTCTGATCCTCTGAGTCAGCAACAATATTTTCTCCCATACACCTTATTGCTAGGGGTAGCTGTGATAGAATAAAATGGAGGTGGCATTAGAAACCCTTCATTAAAATCCCAGCTCTGCCACTTACTAGTTTTTTCTTCTCTACTACATTACCTAACCTCACTGTGCCTCATATTCCTCATCTGTAAAATTAGGGTAATACTACTTGTACTGCCTATCTAAAAGGGCTATTGTGAAGATCAAATAAAATAATGGATGTGAAGTGTTGGCAACTGTAAAATGCTCTGTAAGTGTTGGCTGTTTTTGTAGAAATTGGCATCTTCCCTGGGTGCTATTTTGTATTAGAGTTATTTGTGTATTCAGTGATGTCCATCCTTGAATACTATCTAGTATCCTAAGTTAGATCCATAATCACTCAAGAGTTCAGTGTAATTACCACTCAGGAAAAACTAAGTGAATAAATACTACCTATTGTCTAAGCTATAAAATGCAATTAGATAGAAATGTATTTGGGCCACCTAACTCTGCAAGCAGATATGAATTTAGTCTCAAACTAATAGAAGGAAGAGAGTGGTCTGGGAGCTTATCTTCGGGGAACCAAAGCTTTTACTGATTCCAACCTTCTTGACACAAAGGTTCATCATTTAGCACTAATATTCTTCCAGTAATGCTATATATTGGCACAACATAGAATACTAAAATTTCTGAAGACATTAAGTTGAAGATCACCCAAAGGGTCATGGAGAGGTCCAAAGCAGGCACAAGTGACCTTCAATGCTAACGTCACAATGACTAATTGTGAGAGGCTGTGGGAGGACAGATAGATGTAGGACCAGAAAAGAAGGCTGTTCATGGATATTCAATGGGATGTTCATGTACAGCATATATAATCCATTGGTACATATGCAATGTCAAGACAATTAGAGGAAGGCCTTAGGCATAATGGGTAGATCTCCTGTGGGAGATTTATGGGAGGACATAGACAATGCTAGTATAAAAGTAAAGGGTGTGGATGGGCTATAATCTGCACTTGCTGGAAGGAGTACACACAGAGATCACTGATTCAATGAAGTAATCTCCTACAAGACTGTAAGCTTCCTGAGGGCAGAGACCTCATCTTATGTAAACTCTGTATTTTTATCAGTGCACACCATACTGTTCTATACACAGTAAGTGCTTGCTACAAATATGTTAAATTTGTTGGTTTTGAATCTGCTTAAATTACAAGGAGGTAGATTTCAGCTAACATAAAGAAAAACTTGACAATCAAGACAGTCCAAAATTAGAATAAGCTGTTTCTAAGGCCGGGAGGGAAGGAGATTGATGTAACGTTGTAAGTTTCTGTTCACTGGAGGTCCCAACACAGAAGCCAGATGATCACCTGATAGATCTACTGCAGACAGAATTCAAGTTAGGGTTGGGGTTAGACCAGAAGTGGGGAACCTGTGGCCTCAAAAGCACATGTGGTCCTCTAGATCCTCAAGTGCAGCCCTTCGACTGAATCCAAACTTCACAGAAAAAAGCCTCTTAATAAAAGGATTTGTTCTGTAAATCCTGAACTCAGTCAAAAGGCCACACACAAGGACCTAGAAGGCCACATGTGACCTCAAGGTTCTCCACCCCTGGGTTAGACCAGTTGACCTCCAGGTCCCTTCCAACTCTCAAGCTTCAAGTATGGCAAAAAAAAAAAAAATTCAAATGTTAAATGTACATCCAATGCTATTTTCCAAAACAGAATTTAGGAGTACTTATTTTTCTGAGTTCAGGAACCCTTGGGTTTATATCAAAGTTACTAGCTTAATTATAAACTACAGAACACTTAGTATAGGCTCCAGAATTGAGATAGAAGCAAAACAAAAATTCTCTATTTACCTTAACATGAAATTCATTATCCAATAAGATGTTCTGAGTCTTCAAGTCATGATGCAGCAGTGGTGGGTTCATATTGTGAAGATAATTCACTCCCAGTGCAATTTCGTGCAGAATTCGGAATCTCAGTGCCCAAGCAATTTCAGGATAGTCATTTTTCTTTATCAGAACGACAAAATAACCATATATAGTGACCAAATAGCATAGTATTTTACACTTATGTTAAAAATGTTGGACAAGAAGACTTAATTCTCGGGTCCTGGGTTTACATTTAAAAATTGCTAATTTCTGTGGTCAAACCATTTAATTTCCTAGTATTTAACCCCTGCACCTTTGTGAGAAAAATGGCTTAAGTTTGGGAGAGTGCTAGAGCTGAATCCTACTGAGAAGCCGTTGCTAATTGTTAAATTTTCAGTGGGAGCATTTCTATCTTAGAAATCAGCAAGGGCTACAAATCTGAGCTTCATTTACTGTTTTGTTGGTTGTTTAGATTTAAGAAAGTGATAGAAAAAATGTTAATAATGCAAATTAACCTTAAGAGTAGAAAACAGACAGAGATGGTTATTCAACATTTCCCAGCACACTCTTAGGTACTACCTACCTCGCAGGATTACTGTAAAGAAGGTGCTTTGTAACCTTAAAGTACAACATAAATATGGGTAATTATTAGGTAATCATATTTTAAAATGACCCTTCAGTCCATTAAAAGGCATCCTTTAGGCCAGGAAAGAAAGGATAACTTTTCAGGAGGCAAAACACCCATAAAATCAGCCAGTTAAAAATAAAAGCCCAAGAATGAATCATTCCTTACAAGCCTCTAGGTTAATTTTTCTCAATGTTACAGAAAAAATAGTTTCTCCTAAAAGCCTAAGGCTACTCTTAGGGAAACTCCTTGGGTAAGCTTTGGGGCTAACAGACCTTGGGAATAGGGCAGAGCAGCTTGAGTTGGCTGGACAATAAGCATTTTAGAATTGTCTCTTGCACCTAGCCCAACACTCTATGTGTGTGTATGTATGTATATATTTTTGTATGTATATGTATGTATGTATATACATGTACACATATGTATGTATATGTATGTGTATGTATTTATGGTGAGGGGATCTCCTTATACTTTTTGACACTCTCCAAGAGATAGCAGAATTGGAAGACAATGCATAATTTAAGTCTGTGCTGTCTTAACATAATGTTAAGAGAGATAGCATGTATGTATGGTAATATACACTGAATAAATGTAAAGAGAATAAATACTAAGTAATTTAAAAATACAAGATAGTTTGAAAGGTCAGGCCCTAGGCAGTTGTGGGGATGAGGAAAGCCTTTGTGTATAATAGTACCATGAATTCCAAAAGGTGGAAGTGAAGGTGGAGAAAAGTCTTCTAGACATGGAATGCCATGTGTGAAGAACAGAAATGCCAGTTTCTTTGGCTCTTCAAGAGTTAAGATGGAGATAATGTACTATCATACATATTATATGCTACAGATATAATATATTCATATAGAAGAATATTCTTACAGAAGAAAGATAGGACAGGGGAAGCCCAGATAAGTAAGTATCCATCTAGATAGATTTCTAGTGTCAATATTCTTTGAATCTCTAACAAAATATGGTTTGTTAAGCTCATTTGAGCCTTGTACAGCTTAATTTCTTCAGATTTTCTAAATCTTGAATTTTTTTAAACTCTGATTTTTAAAATAGTACAAATGTACTACAGGCTGGAGAGATATGTTGGAGCCAAGTAGAGAAGGGTTTTAAAAGCCAACAAGAAGTTTATATTTTATCTTAGAGCAGAGGTTCCTTACCCTTTTGGTGTCATGGAGTCCTGAGATTGTTTTTGAATGCATAAAATAAAATACATATAGTTGCAAATAAACCAATATTGAAATATAGCTATCAGACTATTAAAACAAACAAAAAAACAAACAAACAAATTTAAGGACTTCAGGTTAAGAACCCTCGTCTTAAAGTAAAAACATAAAAGCCAGTAAAAGTATAATTAAATTAAAAAGTAGATTCTAGATACATTGAAAAGTCAATATCCTTTCAACTTATATCACATACATTCACTAAACTGGTTTAGTCAGAGCTATAGGAATAGGTGTCACTATACTTTTAATTCTAATTTCTCTTATGATAAAATTGGTTTTGCAATGAGGAGTGAGCTGCAAAGTTTGTGGATGAAAGCTATTCACAGCAGGGTGCTGATAAATGATTAATAGCCACTCTCCAAGAATGCATGAATTTTAAATTTAATACTTTGAATTATTTTATATTTAAATATATTAACATGTAATGATATAATTAATATACCATAATATGTTATATTACATTATTTTATATATTTTAATACTTTTAAATATTTTATATCTTAATGTTTATATATCAATAAGACATATATAATTAATATATGTCTAAAATATAGCATAATTATCTATTTTAATACTTTTAAGTTTTAACATTTAAGTTGCATTATTAACAGTTTATCACTCTCTTAAGTCTAGACAATCAACAAGACAATAAATCAAGCCCACTTGGTAGCATCTGCTGATTTCTGAGGTGTAAATGCTCAAGTGAAAATGTAACAATTGTCTCAGGAATCCTATGGTAAACCCCTAGCTGGCTATTAGCTTGCTCTTCTCATTTCTGCCCCTTCCCTACCAGATCTCAGCAAAAGTGAACACAGCAGAGTATGAGGGGCAGGTGTTCTAAAGGTACTAGGGAAAGCCCTCCTCAAAGGAATATTTTGGTCACTCAATGCAGAGGTGGCCTCAACAGTATTTTCTCTTGTGAACAGCAACATCAACCGCATATATACTGGGAAGAGTGAAAGCTTTACCACTGAGGGCTTTGATTACTCCTGTTTTCATTCATCTGAGGTTTTCCTTCCCCAACTAAGCTGAACAAACAGGAGTCACTCTATGAACCACATCAACCATGCAAAACAAAGAGAAAGCAATGATTACAAAAAATTTGGTGTCCTTACCCTGTGCAGGAGCTCATTGAGTGATCCATTGTTCATGTATTCAGTGACTATTCCCAAGAACTCAGGCTCATAGCAAATTCCCAGAATTGGAAGGATATAACTAAATCTTGCTTTGTGTAAAATCTTGGCTTCTCTTAAGATATCACTTATTTCACTAGAAGAAGAAAACGCATAATTTATTGTAAGTAATGAAAAATTAGTACTTATGGTAATTCCATTAGCTAGTCCTGAATTCACCACTAATTGGCTGTGTGACCTTTGGCACACTGCTTAAATGCTCTATGTTTTAGCTTCTTCATCTTGAAAATGGGGCAACCCATTGCACAGAATTTTCATGGGGATAAAATAACATCAGGGAAAGCATCTGAATGGTAAGAAGTGCTAGACCAATGTATGGGACTATTATGAATATTAAACTTAGGACAAGAGAAAAGATGTGTTTGGAAAACACCTAAATTAGAATCAGCTTAGTGAGTGAACTATAACTAGTAAACATTGTAAATTGAATAAATGACTGAAAAAAACATTGCATTTGTCTGTAATATGAAAACCTCAGGTTAGAGAGCTGGCCTTAAAGCCAGGAAGACCTGACTTTCAGTCCTATCTCTAACAGCTACTTGAATGTCTGACCCCGATCAAGTCACAATCAGCAACTCTCTAAGCATTTCTTTGGAATGAACAAAGATTTTCCTATTTTTGGAATGAATAAAATTCTCCCACAAGGATTTATTGAATGGGTACTATATGCAAGGCACTATGCTAGATGTCAGTGATTTTTTAAAAATGGGGCAGTGTGCCATTAAGGAACTTATAATCTAGTAAAGGGGGGGGGAATAAAAGAAAAAACCTACAGTACAAAGTAGAAAGTTTCTATAGATTTATAGATTATTAGAGCTAGAAGGGACGTTGGAGATCATCAAGTCTAAATCCCTCATTTTACAAATAAGGAAACTGAGTCCTGGAGAGTGACTTGCTTAAGGTCACACAGTGGAACACTGGAATTTGAACTCAAATCTCCTGATTCCTAGACCAAGAAGGGCTCTTAGAAGCCATCTAATCCTCCCCTTTCATTTTACAGATGAGGAATGGAGTCCCAGAGAGATCCAGTGATTTGCCCAAGGTTATACAAGAAGTAAATGGCAGAGCTGGGATTCCAGCTCAGGTCTAATGATGTTCAGTAGGATATGGACAGGTGGAGATGGTGCTGGGAGAGGGTAGATGGAAAGAGAGATACAAACAAAAGATTAGTAGGGTCTAGACCTGTGACTTCATTGCTATATGGGCCTCTTGATGAAGGAAACTCTCTCAAACATTTCAGGCAGGCCTCTTCTTGTGTATGAAAGAGTTGCCTTGAAGATTGAGAGGCTTAGCCTTGCTCAGTGTCAGACATTCAAATGGCTATCTGAAGTAGGACTCAAACCCGGGTCTTGACTCTTTCTGACTCTTAGATCAGCACTCTAACTACTATGTAATGTTTCCTCTTGATAGAACAAAAGAATAGTAAAAAGAAATTGTTGGGCTTTTTTGACAAGTAGCCCTGTTGGGTAGGTATCAGAAAAAACAGGAGATAAAAAGACAAAGACTAACTGGGGCATAATACTGGACAGCCTTTCGTGTCAAATTAAAGAATACTGACTTTAATTGGTAAACAATGAGGAAATGACAAGGGTTTCTAAGAAGGGGAATGACATAATTAGAGGTATTCTTTTGGAAGATTAATATAGGACACAAGATAATTATGACCTTAGAGAGAGATTAGAGGGAATAATTTAGGGAAGCTGATCTGGGATTGGAGCAGTAGCAAAGGAAAGGAGAGGATAGATTGAATTGACACTGAAGAATCACATAGGACAGGGTGGCTGACCAGAGGCCGGGAACAGCAAGCAGTCAGGAGGAGTCAAAGAGGACTTCAAGTTTCAAGTCTAAGTGACTAGGAGAATGGTAGTGTCATTAACTGAAAAACAACAACAGGAAAGTCAGGAGGAGGAGGAGGAGGAGGAGCTGGTTTCAGGGTGAGGATGGGTTGACTCTCAAGCTACTTCAACCTCTTGGCATTTCCTGGACTAAGGAGAATGAGAGATATTCTGGACCAGACACTCAGACTCGCTCTGAACTGTTTCAAGAAGTAGAGGTAGGAAGACACCATTTATGAGATAATTTCACCTCCCAAGAGCAGGAGAGAAGAAGGTAGAGCTGACGACTCCTGGACAAAGAGACATATTGTTAAATAGTAGTCCTGGGCCTCAAGTTTCAGTTCTGCTTCAAATAATACCTAGCTAGCATAGTGACCAGCAAATAGGAACTGACATAATGTTTACTGAACCGAATGGAAGCATCCCTCTTCTACCCTGACCTTTTACTTGTACCAAAAGTCAGATGAAGATTCTTGCTTGGCAGGTAAATGGGTGGGAGAAGATAGCATATGGGAGCAATGTTCTTTGTCAAGTTTTAGGAAGAATTGAGCTAAAGGTTTTTTTTAATGGTTTCAACACACAGTGGTTCAGATTGGAGGAAATAAGCCTATCAGATTTTATCTATATACTATTAAAACATATACTTGGAAAATGAAAAATCAATTGTTTCATTCATAGGGCACCAAACATCTAGTCTGATTTTCTGCCCTCTCCATTTTTCTTTTTTCTTTTGTCTTTTCTAGAGGAGGAGGAGGATGTATAATTTTAACCACAATGCTAACTGGATAGAAGGTAGAAAGTTGCCCAGTATCACCCTGTCTCTGAAATAAGAACAAAGAAGTTTTATGTCAGCATAAATACCTTCCCCACTGATACCCCTCCTACCCCCTCATTCCCACCATGGTAACAAAAGACAAAATAGTAGATGAGTTCTCATAGCCACTGTTCCTAGATAGCTCAGATTTCCAGAACTAGGCCAGTGAAGAAAATAAAAGTGAGGTTTTGCAAAAAGATTGCAGTTCTGGAGGTGGAAGGAATATTGGAGGCCATTTAGTTTAGCTCCTTCATTTTACAGATGAGGGAACTCAGGCCCAGAGAAGTTAACTGATTTTTCTCAAAGTCAAGCCGATGAAAGCCAGGTCCTCTGATTCCAAAACCAGTGCTCTGAAAAGTGATTCCTTTGCCAGACCATGTTTTCTTATGTTTAGTTCTGAAAAAATGGTCACTGGCCAAGAAGCAAGAATATTATTATCCTCACTTTATAGGTGAGGAAGGAAACTGTGAGTCAATGGCCTGCCTAGCCCTGTGCTTAGCCTAAGTAAATGCTGCTTTCTTAAAGACCTGAATGAAAGCATTCCAAAGTCAAAGACCTCGGTAACAAGTGGGAGAACAGGATGCACTGTGACAAGCTGAAGTGGACTCAAGGGCAGTTTGATTCACTGATGTTTAAAAATTCTTTCAGATGGTGAGGGGTGGTGAAGTGTTATTCAGGAGAAAGTACTAAGCTTAGAATTATGAGGACTCCATAAGAGTGCCCTGTGCCACCACATGTTAGCTGTATGATTTTGGCCACATCACTTAGAGACTCTCTGAGACCCACTTATTTTACCACATAGGATAACACTACTTGCATACCCTACTCCATAGGCTTGTCCTCTGAGCCACAATTCACATTTATGTATTATGTTAAGGTGTTCAAAACATGCACTTTACCATGTAGTGAAAGGGTATAAATATTATCCCCATTTTACAGATGAGGAAATTAAGGCTCTGACTCCCTTGTGATCACCTAGGTGTGTCATGTCCAAGGTAGGATTCAAACCCAGGTCTCAATTTCACTTTATCTATTACCCCATAATACCTCTGAATTGATGAGTATAAGTTATAGCTATAAAGTGATATTCAAATTCCCATCACTCCTACTCAGGCGGAATCAGATATCAAATATCTAATGGGCCCATCAAAAACATTTACACATAATATTTGCATAGGAAGGCCTAAGACATCTCCACCCTTATTAACAACTACTTGGAGTGGGCTATAAAGTGCTAACATCAGCTCCTCCAAAACAAAGGAGGCCAGAGTGAACAAACATCAAATCCTACACATCATCAGACTGGACTCTAGTATACAAGTGAGAGGAAGCAAACTCCAGAGACGCCCAAGCAGCTAATGGTGTAAGCCACCTAGTGGGCTACCCAACCCTCAATTGCTGACTACTTCCCATTTTTAGATGTTAAGAAGTGAAGATGAGGCGGGAATGGGGGTTGGGGAGTACAGCAAGGGGAAGAGATACTGAGAGTCCTGGGAGATAGGACCTGGCAGAGGCTGAGCAATAGTTTAAGAGTATTTAAAGAAAAAACACACGCCACAGCTTTCACTATGCTGTAGTTTAACATTACAAATCTACGTACATTTGTAGCAAAAAGGTCCCTCACCCTAGAAGTCAAAACAAACAAACAAAAAACCCTGAGTTTTCTGCCACCATCAGACCTTGGGCAAATCACTTAACTTCCCTGGGCCCCAGTTTTCCTGTAAAATTAAGGGGTTGACTTGCTTGGATGCCCTGTTAAGTCCCTTATAACTCTAACCTTCTATGATTCTGTGGGAGGAGAAAATGCTGCCGTCAAGAAAGGGAGATCATTGCAAAATGACTGTAGGGTGCAATTAAATTACAAAGGAAAGAACAGTACACACACACAAACTAGTATCTATGCTTATAGTTGGCACAAACACAATTGAAGGATTCGGTTAATAGTTCTGGAACTGAAATCGAAAGCAAAGTTTCCTCAAACTTTAGCCATTTCCCCTAAATCGGCCAGAGGCCATTAGAGGCCGTCTTCCACCAGTTACCACACACAATAAGAATGAGGCAGTTTCTCCTGCTTCCAGTGACCTAATTCCAGAATGGGAGGAACTCAAGTCTAATGTGCTATGGTATTTAAACTTTCTTAAAGACAATCAACAAGAGACACAACCACCAAAAACAAACTAAAAACCCTACTGAGCCTCTCCAATTATATATATAAAATATATGTACATATATTATATATGTATACATTATATATAATATATAAAAACATTATATATAAACATATCATATATGACATATATAGATACAGATATCGATATCTATTTTAAATGCCATATCTATAAAGGCCAAACACAAAATCAAAGCAAAGGGAGGTGCATTTAGGGATGACATGGCAATGATGTAGGAGACAGGCAGATATCCGATTCTACCCTGGACAAGGGGGCAAAAGACCGAAGGTTAAATTTTCCCCATGCCCCTCTCCCACCTGCTTCTACTGCAAATCACATGGCAGCCCAAGTCAGGAGGAGGTGCTCAAGGGTAGCAGGGAAGCGCTCACCTGGGTACGTGAGCATGTGCGTGCGCGCGTGTAGCCTGGACACATCCCCGAGCCACTGGAGGGAGTGGGGAAGACGCGGACTGGGGGTGTGCACCTTTTGGTGGTGGAGACGCCTGTACCTGTGGCCACCGAGTAGGGGCCGAGATGGTGGGGGGTCATTACCTTTCCTGCAGTGGGGTCTGGAAATGCAGGTGCTTCACTGCCACCTGGACGCGCCAGTCGGAGTGGCGTGCCGAGTACACGGTGCCTGATGCGCCCCGGCTCAGGAAGCGTAGGTCGGCGAGTTTGTAGTAAGGGATGGTGGGCAATGAGCTGGAAATGGCTAGTTCATCCCCGTTCATCCTCCTAACCGGGCCGTTGCGCTCACAGTCTCAGCGCTGGACGGGGAAGAGACAGCCCTAACTCTTCCAGCGACAGGCTGATGTTTCTGGAGGGACGGTTCCGGGTTGGCAGCGTCTACTACGCTCCCACCTCCTTCTCTTCCACCTTTCGAAGCGGGAGCGCGGACATTGGTGCTTCTCCCCCTCCCCGCGGAGGGCAGCGGTCAGGGACTGGCTCCCTCCCCTTTAGCACACTGGGAAAGTAAATTCCCTACTTCCCCGACACCGCTAACCCTTCCCGGCTGCAATCAAACAGCCTCCGCAATGCTTCGACTCGTCCGCAGCCCCGAAAGTGTTCCCCAGAAAGCGAGAGCAAACTGCCACCAAAGTTGCTTCGACCTCGATGTATGCTTTTTCTCCCCACCCGAGGCCTACCCTACGCTCCCCTCCACCCTCGGTGGAAATTGAAGAATTCTTCCCGAACACTGTCTGCGTCTGGGTCTGGCTCCGGCTGGGGCCGCTCCTCCCTTCCCAAGATTGCCAGGCTACGTCAGTAGCTTAAAAACCTCCCCGGCCCCGGATCCGCGCGTGAGACAAGACGCGCCTGGCACTGGCCGCTCGCAGCGCAGCCTCCTCTTCCTTCCCCTCGCTGCTCCTCCCGCGCAGGGATCACTCGTTTCAGTGGCTCACACCCTGTGGCTCAGCAGTCTCAGTCTCCCTGCCAGCTCTCGCTGTGTTGGAAGCCAACCTCCAGGTCTCCACCCTGGGAAGACGCCTCCTCCTAAGAAGGGATTGACGGATGCTGCGCTAGTTGTGTGGTCAGTGGAGGAACAGTTTCGCTCTCGAATCTTAAAGAAGCAAGGCGATCGATCGGGGAACTCCTCTTTTATTTTTGCGTCTACTCTCTCATGGCTTCAGGAAAAGCCACCCTTTTTCTTTGGGAAAGCCCCAAAGTGTGTCCGGCCGGTTGTTTTCCGCTTGGTCAGCAGGATCTTCTACTGAAAGTAGAGTTCTCTGATTCCAGTCTGCACGTACAACTTGGAAATTGCCAAACTGGAGAGCGAAGTCTGAGGTGGGCGGGTAGGGGAGAAGGTGGCAGCTGAACTGGATGGAAGACTTTGGTGAGAAACACTGGAAAACGTTGTTTTTGGAAGGTTCTTTAATAATAAATTCTGCCTTTTTTTTTTTTGGTACCACATATTGGAGAAAAAGTAAAGTCTCAGTCCCAGGAATCTGGTATTGCCTGCCCTCTTAGACTGTCTTTTTTTAAATTTTTATTTATTTTTATTTTTTATTTTTTAGACTGCCTTTTCCCATTGCTCCATCGATATAGGAGCTTCAGGGAAAGAAACCTATCATAATATGATAAATTACAAAGGCATTTTACCCTTTTAATTCTTCTACTCGAATCTTTTCTTCCTTCTCTTCATCTTTATTCCCCTATCAGCATATAAAAGTGGGGTAAGTGGGGGACACCTAGGTGGCGCAGTGGATAGAGCACCGGCCCTGAAGTGAGGAGGACCTTAGTTCAAATTCGGCCTCAGACCAAGCACTTGACACTTGCTAGCTGTGTGACCCTGGGCAAGTCACTTAACCCCAATTGCCTAACCAAAAAAAAAAAAGTAGGGCAAGTGGAAAAGATTTGGAAGGAAGACATTCCTCTAAATTTACTCAGGGCTCCAGTTTTCTTAGGTCTCTAGATTTAGAGCTGGAAAGTATCTCTGACGCCATCTAGTCCAACCTCACTTAGAGGTGAGGAAACTGGGTCCCAAAGAGTTAAGTGACTTTTCCAAGGTCACACAGCTGGAAGAGATGTGGGTACCAGTCTTTCATTTTGCTTATGGGGAAGTCCAGAGAAGTTAAGTGACATGTACAAAATCGTCAGGTGCTACTGATCCCACTGTGGGAGTTTAATGAATGTAGCAGCAACAGCAGAGATAGTCATCTGAATAATAGGCTTGTAGATGTGAAATACTTGCCTGCTGCAGGCATCCTCAGCTACCCATAAGCAAGTGTTTCTTGTATTATTGCATTACTTGAAGGGTGAATAACAGTTGCTGGTTTCATCCAGTGTAAAATTATAATGAAAATTTATTGACTTAGGAAAAAAACCTAACATTGCCTGTGTTTTTTGTATTGTACTTTGTAAAACATTTCTCAATTTGGTTTAAATGGTCACTCATCTGGGCCACTTGTGGCCTGTGGGCTTCCAGTTTGACAGCTCTGCTTTAGAGAAATAGTTTGATAGATGGTACTTCATTGCATAGTTGATATCTCACTGCTGATGGTGATCAAAAAGAATTACGCTTATATCTAGCCTATAATTTAATTTTCCCAGATCACCATGCTTTCCTCAGGTAGGTAAGACTTACAGAAATGAGGTATAGTTGGACTTCTAAAACCCTTAAGGTCTACCCAAGTTCAATTTTTTTATAAAACTGTAAACAATAGCCTGTTTATTTGAAATATTTAAGAGAAGGTCCTTAAGGGGAAACCTAAGGAAAACACTTTACACCAGATCTAGGACATAGCCTTCGCCTTCATCTTACAGAACTAATATCTTCATGTCCTGCAAAGGCAGACGGACTTGGAGGGGGACACAGGGTGGCATGTGGCCAGGGAGCCTGTAGGCACAGAAAGTATATAGATCACAGGGATAGGGAAATCTAGGATGATTGTCTTGGACTCATGGGAACATGCTTCAGGGTGCCTTGGGGTTCAGGCATCTAATTAACTCCAGCACTTTGGCCATGTCAGCAAATCAAGTGTCAAGCATTTGTTCCTCTCATTTTATTTGAGGCACTGTGCTGAAACCCTGGGGATACAAAGAATGAAAGAAAGAAATACAGTTCCTGCTTTCAAGGAGCTTCCATTCTGATTGGTGATGATGTCAGTCAGTGCTTTACTGTACTATTTTGAAATCATAAGGCTAGAGCCAGAATATGGTGGTCTAGTCCTTAATGACCTCAAGGAGAATAGAGACCTTGAAGTCACGAATTCAAATCTTGTCTTTGACATATGCTTGTTATGTGATTATAGACTGGTAGCTTAAACAAACCCTTGGTAACCAGGGAAATTCACAAGGATTAAAAAAATATATACATAATTTGTATTTACAGAGGGATTTTGCATACTGGAAGTTCCAGATGAACTCATAGGTTTAGACAAAAACAAACACAAAATGTTTGCATATTATGCTCTGCTGATTGCTGAAGGATTTGTCCACTAATCATATAGTATGCTGCTAAAATTCTCATTGTAGATCTAATAAAATGCTGATATAGAATTTCAGAGTTGGAAGGAATTTCAGTGAACATCTAGTCCAATCCATACCTGTAAAAGAGTGCCTCCTACATTTTACCCAACAAATGGTTACTCAGCTTTTGTTTAAGGATGACCTGTGAGGAGAAAACTCATTATCTTTCAAGTCAATCTGTTCCACTTTTATAATTTAAAAAATGAGAGCTAACAGTTATATTGGGCTTACTATGTTCCAGGCACCTTAATAAGTACTTTGCAATTTTTATCTTATTTAATCCTCACAACAACTTTGGGAGGTTAGTGTTATTATTATCCCCATTTTACAGATGAAGAAACTGAGGCAAACAGGTGAAGTGTCTTCCCCAGGGTTACACAGCTGTCTGAGGTCACATTTGAACTCAAGTCATCCTGATTTCAGTCCCAGAGCTCTATCTACTGCTCCACCACTCTCTTGAATAGATCTAATTGTAAAGAAGTTTCTTCTTAAGTCATACCTAAATTTGCCTCTGAAAATTCCAGCCCTTATTGCTAGTTCTACTCTTTGTGATCAAATAAAACAAATTGAATTCCCTTTCTATGTGAAAGTCTTTTTTTAAAATTAAATTTTATTTTTTCAATGAACAAATGTTTATTTTCTTTCCCTCCTACCCCTTACCGTTGAAAAAAATAGTTTTTAAAAAATCCTTCTTGATAACCTTTAAAATTCTTGACACCTATCATGACCCTCCTGAGTCTTTTCTTCTCTAAACTAAACATTCCCAAGTCTTTCAACGGATTCTCATATGTCATCAGTTTAAAGCCCTTTACCATACTGGTTTTCCTCTTTTGGATATTCTCCAGTTTATCAATGTGGTGCCCAAAACTGATCACTATACTCCCAATGTGGTCTTACCAGGGCAGAGTCTAGCCCTTCCTGGTCTGGAAGCCATGCCTCTTTTAATGTCGACTAAGATTTTGTTAGCATTCTTAGCTTCTGGTTACCTTGACTCATGCTATTCTTGTAGAAAAAATGGGAAGATATAGGATAGACAACAGTACAATTCTATGGATTCCAAACTGGTTAAATGGCCTATCATTAAAGGTTTATTGTTAATTTAGAAGGAAGTCTCCTGTGGAGTACCCCAGGGATCTGAGCTTAGCTTTGTACTGTTTAACATTTTTCATCATTAAGTTGGATTAACCATAAATGACAAGCTTATCAAATTTACATATGTCATAAAACTAGGAGGAATCATTAGCCCAATGAATAACAGAGTCAGGATCTAAAAAGATCTTAAAAGGCTAGAATTTGGGGCCAAATTTCATGAAATGAAATTTACTAGGAGTAAATATAAAGTATTACACTAGGATTAAAAAAAATCAAATTTACAAGTATAAGATTGTGAAAGCATGTTTAGTTTGAAGAAGGAGAAGGGACAGAAGGAGACATAAATAGTTTTTTTTATCTTATTAAATTATATATTATATGTATACATCTGCACATTTTAAAAACAAACTGTACTAACAAAAGTTTAGTTTCTCATATACACCTCTTTGCACTATGTTGAAATATCTATGTTGTGGAGGTTTCAGTGGACCATAAACTAAATACAGTAACAATGTAATGTGACAGCTAGAAAATCTAGTATGATCTTGGGCTGCATTAAGAGCAATATAGATTCTAGGAATAATAAGGAGGTGTGTGGTCATGCTATACTTTGCTCAGGTCAGACCACGGCAAGATAGAAGCATGTCCTGGGTAATGTGGAAGTCTGTGGGTCTGGGGAAGAACTTTTCTGTCTACCTAACATTACTGTATTTGGAAACAGTGGTATAATGAGAGAAGAGAAAAAAACATAGGATAGAACTTTATGGTATACTTACAGTTGGGGGCTGTGTTGTGGCTGATATCCAATAAAGGATACTGAGAAGCAGCAGTCAGGTATGAAGAGAACCAAGAAATTGTCCTGAAAACCCGAAGAAGAGAGATGGCCAGGAGAAAGAGATCAATAGTGTCAAATGCTGCAGAGATGTCAAGGAGAATGAGGATTGAGGATTACTGTCTTCATCTTAGTTTTGATAACATTAGACAGGACAGAGCCCTGCAGGAAACTACTACGGACCATTATGCTGATTAGTATCCCATTGGTCCCTTCAATTCAGCAAATATTTATTGAATACCTGCAATTAAACTAAATGTTTCCCATATAAATTGTTTGTTAAAATTATGCAGGGTTTTGCACCAATAAAAATTAGGGATGTAGAGCTCAAATCTGTAAAAAAACCTGTACTTCATATAACAAGTTCTACATAAGAAGATATAAGTTCCAACTTGGAGTGGAGTGGAAAATCCTGGCTCATATTATGTGGGTCAAAAGTGTGTCTGATATGACTAGGGCAGGTGTGTCCTCTAGAAAGTCTGGAGGATTTTGTTGTGGCGAATCAGGATATGGTGCTGGATAATAACATCAGATGATGCATAATGCTGACTGGCATAATAGGACACAAATAACCACACTGTTTTGCCTGCTATGGATTATGTAATACTATATAGCAACACAGATGTAATTGTATTGTTAAAAAAATCACATGTAGAGACTGAGGTAGATCACTCAAGATAATTAAATACCCTAAGGAAATGGAAATGGTTTATATACTGTAAACATTTCTAAAGGCTCTCTCTCTCTCTCTGTCTCTCTGTCTCTCTGTCTCTCTGTCTCTCTGTCTCTCTCTCTCTCTCTCTCTCTCTCTCTCTCTCCCTCTCTCCCCCTCTCCCCCTCCCCCCCACCCCATCCATCCATCCATCCATCTATCTATCCATCTATCTGTCCATCCATCCATCAGTTCAAGAGAGAGAGACATAGGCCAGGAGGCCTGGAGGAGGGAACATGTCTTCATCCCCTCCTCTGCCTTCCTTTCTCCTGCCCCCCCCATGACACCCATCAGTCATATCACCTCGAAGTGGCACTATATACACTAGACATATAGATACAGATAGGTGATTATTCTAAGAAGGAAGCATCTTTAAGGGGGAGAGGGACTTCTTGCAGCAGAAATGAAAGCCTTCTATATACCCAAGAGAGAACTAGCCTTGGCATTTGAGAATTGAGCTGAAGAGAGGTGCAGACCCTGAGAACCCAGCTGAGGTAACATAGAGAGAACTGTAGCTGTAACTGTAGCTTCCTTCCTCATAAATCTAGGATACCTTCACTAACACACATGGCATCCATGGAAAAAATAGGCACAGACTTAAAATATAATGGCAGCGAGGTGCCAGT